AAATCGTTCCGAACAAACTTCATTCTTTCGTGCTGAGCAAGATTTTTGGCTATTATATGTGACACGCAGGTTCTGGTGTTGAGTGGAGCACCTCACGAGAGACCGTCCCTACTCCAGCTGGCTTACAGCATTACTCGTGGAACAAGTTTGTTAGTGTGCGGAAACGTTGTACATGAAGCGGTAAGTCATTGTTTTAGGATATGTGACTCAAACGCGGGATTCTACCTTGCAAGTATTATAGAGCTCCGCTGAGCCTAGCAAGCAGCTGGCTACAGCCCGTCGTATTGAAGAAATGTCGCAGGCAGTACTACAAAGGCAACATATCAAAGGAATTTGTAAGGTCGTCGTCGCTCCGTCGCTGGAAAGCGGTTGCACCATGCTCTACCAGGTGAGCAGATCGTCAGCAGAGGTAAAACAAAATTATACGGCCGTGAAGGAAGAACTTGCAGTTTTTGGTGCTGCATTTTGAAGCCATTTTCTGTACAACTTTTTGTGAGGTTACTGTCACGACACGGCGAAAGTGACGTTAAAGGTGGTGTTGAAAATGGTGTTGCGCTCAGCACACGCAATAGGGCCACGGTGATGATGGTCCTACTCTGTCGCGCACTCAGAACCACTCGCGTGCAGCTGTAAGTTGAAATCCTAGCTCACAGCTTTAAAGTCAGATTTCTAGGTTTGTGGTCTGGGTCGGATGTCGCCAAATATCGTTTTGCTTGGTTTCATGGAAAATACGACCAGAAGATCGAGAACAGCGTCAAGTTGTCGGCCAAGAATGCATACATGCGGATTATACAGTACGTTCTCATCAACATAAGAAAACATTTTCCAAAGTGGGCGGTCAACGATCTCCCTCTCTCAAAATGGTGCGAAAAAAAAGTTGGTGCAGGTCAACCTGGCCTAATGAGCCGAAATTTCCTAACAACCGCCACGAAAGGATGGGGGAAATGTTGCGTATGAGAGTGGTCCGATCTACCATGCGCTCAAGCTCTTTCTGCTGATCCACCCTTCCCTTGACAATGAACTCTAACGCCGTAATGTTATATGCAATCCCGCTCTCCCTCCCCCCACCCTCCTCAACGATGGGCTGCTCTCTTCTGCTAATGCGAAACAGAGGGAAGCATCTTGTTCTTGAGGGTATTTCCAAAAAAAGGAAGCATTGAGCGAAAGGGCATTTGACGTCGAGCTAGAAACATCTACATATACGGCTGATGCCGCTTGGACGCGTTACTTTTGGCCTGCTTCATTTATGGACTGGTGAAATCACCAGATCCGCTAAACAGTTTGTATAAGGACTTATTTAACATCCTGATTACGAATATGACATTCATTCTTGGCGCTGGCGCTAATGGAGGATACTACGATTACCTGCGCTACGGCTAAGGCTGCTTCTAGAAGGTAATCGTAGTGTGTCTCATTAGCGACAGCGCCAAGTGTGAATGTCATATTCGTATATCAGGATGTCATGAATGTCATAATGTAATAAGGATGTTATATTACCTCTGTGTACAAGTTTTTAGCTTATTTGGCGGTCTAAGCACTTCACAAATGAGCCAACAGCCAAAACTCAGCGCGTCGAAATGGCATCAGTCCATCTACACTATCTACTAGTCCAAAAAAAGACTTTTTCTTCCTTGACTTTCGAGGCGCTATAAGTTACACTTTATTAAATTCTTATCGGACATTTTACCACCATATTAAAGAGCATATTAAATACTATCACGATACTCCGCCACAGCCTTCTGGAGGAGCGCCATCGAGAGATTCTGCCACGCGACCGTGAGTGGGTGCCTGAGTTCAGCGAGATCGTTGATTTCTCCGCCACTGTAGACCACCCTATTGAACTCCGCCCGAACCAGGTAATTGAGGGGGTTTAGGTCAGGTGACCTGCTTAGATATTCCATCCTTCTTCAGGTACTCAACGCCCTTCCATTCCAAGTAGGCAAGAGTTTTCCAACGCCCTTTGATTCCATGTGGTGTCACCCAATCCTGTAGCAGTACAAAGTTTCCAGATAAGACGGGCGGACACATTTGGAGAGGATATTCTTCTCGAGTTGCTCGATGTAACCGCCAGCGCTCACCTTCAGTCCGGGGCCCACGAAGAAAATATCGGTCTCTCCATTCCAGGTACGTCCGGTCCCCACCATCAACTGGCGCCTTGGCGACTGAGGTGAAGATGATGTCCTAGACCGTAGCGACGTTGTCGGAGCTGCTCGATGTGGAGGTCTTCCAGATCGAGAGTACTGGTCTCCAGGTAGCTATCCATGGGTGACTCCATACTAGAAGTTTCGCAGCTGTTTGGAGGTGACAAAGGTCTTCTCCAGTCAGGCTGCGACTGGAGATGACTTCATATTTTGGTGTACATGAAGGTGATGGGCGAGAGCCAGCTCCTGCTTATCGAGGAACATCTTGGGTATCTTCCGCCCTGGTACTCGTATCCACGTCCTCTGTCTGGGCTGCGATATGTGACTCGGTCGAAATGTTCCCCCCCCCCTTGTATGCATGCTTCCAGCCGCCGCCACGCGCCACCATTAGCGCTGGGAACGACGGCGTCATGGCTTATCGTCGTAGCACCACGGTTGACGCGTGGTGAGCAGTGGTGGCATCGTTTATTATGATGCGCCGCTGCCCAGCGGCAATGCGCTGTATCCCTCTACACCCCCCCCCTCAATTCTGCCCTGACATTGCTAGTCCGAGTTCAATACAGAAAAAGTGAGACTGACTATACCTCGCACCCGAACTCATGTGATTAAACAAGCCTTTGGCACGGTCGTGCTACTGCTACTTTTTGGACAATTTTCTGGAACTTTTCCAGCAAGAGAAACGTTCTCTATGTTATGGTTTCATATCGAAATCGTTCTTTTTTGAATAAAAATCATGTGCGTTGTTCAAAAAGCGTATTTTTCCGCTTTTGTGGCAAAAATTCTCCAATTCAGGCAGCGATTTCTACAAACAACATAGTGGTGTTCGCGATTTTCAGAAGCTAAAGCAAACAGATCCTTTCAATAATCAACAACGTCGCACTTCATTAGTCCATTTCTGCGGTGACGGGCAATGTTACTTTTCTAGGCTCGTATATCGTACGAGTGAGGCATCCATATTCATCCGCTTCCTCTGATAAACGCTTAAACAAGAAACCTATCATTGATGTTTGGTGGCTCAGTGACGATGGTGGACTAACCCTTCTTGTTCCGTATCTTCTCACTCAACAAGGGAGCCGTCTCAAGGTCATGTTCGGCCAAATTCTGATTCGGATACAGTTTTTCTTCAATGCAATAGATTGGTTGAATATTTCGTATACCAGAGGAATCAGTGGTGAAAAAGAGTGATGAGTAGTAGGAGATTGTCACAAAAACAAGATAGCTTCTTCAGGAATTAGCTTTTAAGCTTAGCTTTTAGTTAGCTTCTAGTTAGAAGGTAGCTTTTGGCTTATGCGATGGTAATGCGACTTTATTGAGGAAAGGGAGAGGGAGGCTCAAATGTTTACAAAATATCGCCTTCGTTAGCCATAGAGGAAGGGTCTATTCATATCATGTCTTTCCTAACGTTTCCAAGAAACAAGCAAAGCATCCCTTTTTTCTGTACACGTCACAGGCTTACCAAGTTGTTCAGATTGTCTTATTCGCTGGTTTGACCTTTTGTCCCTGTTTGATTACGCTTATTGTACCTCCCATTTTTTCTAATAGGGAGAATGATCCTGTTTTCCCATGGGGTCAACTAGGTGGGCGCTATTAGGGCCGCAGAGGCCTGAGGAAGTGAAGAACCTAAGCCTACGGCTCATTTTCAAACTGTCCAGTCGTCGTCACAGACCACTCCCACGGCGAAAATAGAGAGATTCGCTGACATTTTCTCTAACCAAGGCAAAAACCTATTCGGGAAGTTGTCTTTTATTCTGCCATCTAGGACTAAACTTTATTGATTCAGGGAGCCAATCTTCGTGTATTCACTGTCGCCCCAGAGGGCGTTTCTGTCACAGCGGAAGAGGAACGAATGGCTGCACTGTTAGAGAAATTCCGTATCCACTACAGTTACCTTCACGTCGTTTCAGCTTTAACAGAACCAAATCAAGAAATGTAGGATTTCTGTCCATAACGTGGCGACACGAAGCCAAAACTAGCTTTCTACCTCACAATGACTATTTGAGATGTTTTTGTTTACAGAATTGAAAGTTCTTCAAGATGTTGGAGCCGTTCTTAGGTGAAAACAAAGAAGGACTAATTTCTGAAGAAGAACTGACTCGAATGCACAACAGAATCGTCAGACATATTCAAACAGGGATTCTATTGCGGAGTTTTTCTTGCAATGCAGATTTAGTGGTGGTGTAAGTCCATGTTTTATTGCTATCATTTCTTTATTTCGTTTTGAACAGTCGGATCCCCTTAGTCTTTCTCGGATTATGCTTTTAGGAACTTGCTTTGCCCAATAGTATTCGTTGAAATGCAGTGATTCAAGAATTCTGGGAAGTAAAACTAAACTAAAGCGTAACTCCATTGGACATGTTTACCCTGCCCACGATATACCGCTTGCCAGGGACCTCCAGCTCTCGCAGGACATGCACGACTTCCTTTTTTACTAATTTCCATTTTACAACGACCTTCGCCAAGGAAACTAAGAACCTGTACTACTGTCAGCTGATGCGTGATTTCCATGACCGAGTTGCTCGTGATCAGGCTCCTGAAACCGTAGCTCGGCTGCAGCGGCACCTGTCCTAGACAATTTATGGTTCATGGTTTTCCGGGATCCGATGATTCTAAAGATGTAAGGATTGAGATCAATGTCCGGGGCGATCATCCGGAACTCCCATTTACACCGCCACTCCGTGCACAAGCTCGTATATACGCCACATACTCACCTCCGAGGATCCTGTTCCTAGCCATTCGCCTGGTAAACGGCTTCGCAGCCGTAGAAATTTATCTCCTTCCCCGCTCAGAAATGTGCGAAAATATGGCAGGAAGCTTGGTGGTGGCTAGGAGCCATTTGGGACTGCACCCGCGGGCACAACAAGCAGCGCGTGATACACCGCGCGACCACCTATATGTCTAACCAAGGCCGAACGCACTTCCGTCTGCACCTCATTGTTGGTTGGGGAGGGTTGTTCTCTACACTTGCTCACGATAGATACCTTGCTGTTCATGTTGCTCGCAGAAGCTCGGCATCGATGCACATTCCGCACGCTGTGGACGTCGGCATCCACCTTTCATTACTCCACCCTGAATTCTACCTCCACACGAATGACCAAATTGGCACATTTCTGCAGTTCCGGACCCACTGACCTCGTACATGGTACTGACCCCTCGCAGCTGAGCGTGAAGCTTGCCTGCAAGTGGTGCGCCATGAGCAAAGCCTTTCTGCCCCCGAGATGAGGCATTGCTATCCCTTTCTGAAGAAGAGCAAAATCGAACATGTTTTCCACAAATTATCCCCGATTCTGTGTGGACTTCAAACGCTCGATTTCTCAGATCACTTTTCAGCACGCTACCATTTCCTCAAAAGGACCTCAGCAGCAGCCTTTACATAAGTTGGTTGGAGGCGATATCTCGCGGTCTACCGTG